GCTGTGAAGAGTGCCTACTGAGTGGAGAGGGTGGAAGCTTTTTGGTGTCACTAAGCTCTACAAGTTCCAGAGATGATTTACAGGCAGAGAGAAAGCCAATGTGCAATTCACAGAGACCATGATGAAGAACTTCTGGGCATTTCCAAATGTTTTGTTTTTTCAGTACTAAATTTTATGAGCCTTGCATGGGAGCAAATATACCTGACATCAACACCTGCAGGAGTTTTGCCAGTAAGTATGTAACAAAGCATACTGCTGTTTGGTTTTCCTGAGAGATGTTAAAAAATTCTCCTAGAATGAGACACATTCTGAAATATGACTGTGTTTGTATGAGACCACAGAAAAATTATATCCTTCTTTGTAACGTTAACAGCAGCTACAGCACATGGTAAGACATTTGTGTCCTTCATCAACACTGCCTATTTAATTTGTCTTTCAAGATTTATTTATAAGCTCTGCTCAAGCAAACCAGTCATTCTACATTCCTTTGAACAGCATCAGCTGCCTACTAGCACTGTTAGCGCAAGCTTAAATACTCATCTTCTGCTGACATTAAAATAAATAAATCAATCAGAGCTAACAGAACAATGATCAAATATGGTAACCTGGAAGGTTTTGAATCCTAAATGTAAATAATCTACCAGATGAAAATAAACATTCTATTAAAAAATAAGTAGCACTAAGTGTTGAGATTTTGATATGAAAATGTATTAAATATTAATGTTTTATAGTTAAATGTAAAATGGCTGATTTTACCTGAATCACTGTGCTGATTGTATTTAGGTGTGGATATCAAGGACCCACAGCAGCCACGAAATTAAAAGACGCCTGCTTTTTGGGAGGAAAGCGATGTCAAACCTCAACAGTATCTTAAAAAGCAGAGACATCACCTTGCTGACACAGAGGCAGTGGAAGACAAGAGGGCCTGGCGTGCTCTGGTGCATGGGATCATGATGAGCTGGACACGACTAAACGACTAAACAACAACAACAAAAATCAAGGAGTAAGACTTAATGTTGTACAGCTTTGTACATGATGAAACTTAGTGTAACAGAAAATGAAGTAATGTATTTTCTGATTGGTCACAGAACTGTACATAAGTCATGTGTAATATGAACGTCTTTACCTGCTGTAAGTCAGATCACTTTTTCCTATGCTGTGTGTTGCTTCATGTCATGTTATGCTGCCAGAGGAATGTCTATTCTCTATGTATATATGTAAATATATGGACAGAAAAATGTTGTTGGTTTTACTCTCTCAGCGTCACAGTGTCGTAAGTATTTCTGCTAACCAATATCTCCTTGCTTGCTGATGTTATGAAAATACACATTATAATCAAAATTCTCAACACTAAGATGATCATGAAAGGCAATTTAGAAAATGTTCTAAATATTTAACAGGAGAGCCTCAATCCAGAAAAGTGTCATGTGCAAATAAGAAGGGCTTAATTAGTGCCCTCTAATTTAAATTGCATTGATTCACACATGACTCAGGCAGAGCTAACATTATCTGAACTGCGGCCAGTAACAAACTTCTAGTACAGCGGACCCTCGACTTACAGATGGCTCCACTTACAGACTTTTCAAGTTACAGACTTCTCTGGCCACAAAATTTAGGTTTGACTTGCAGCTGGAGAATTGACATACAGACCGGGGAAAAAATCAAAATGGAACAAAAACGGCCGGTTACCGGGGAAAAAATCAAAATGGAACAAAAACGGCCGGTTACGGATTAATCGGTTTTCAATGCATTGTATGTCAATGGAGCCTTGGCCTAGAGACTTTTCAACCTGCAGCCACCATTCTAATACGGATTAATTCCTTAAGGCGAGGGTCCACTGTAAATGTTTTCAGGCAGGGAATTATTTTAGTGTTTTCTCCTGTAATAAAATAAAATGAATGAATGAATCACATCCTTGCAAACCTTCCCAAGGTTTTCAAGGTATAAAGTATTTAGAAGTGGTTTACAATTTTTCTGTGGGCCCTCTGGAAGACTGCAGCTTGCCCAAGGCTAGACACATTAGTCCTTCTCTTGGGAGGAAAAACAAAACCAATACTCCCTACAAACCCATACATCTCATGACAATATATTGATTGAGTTAAAACAACATTTAAATCCATATAAAATATATATTCAAGTACAATGTGAAAAATTGATTTCATTATATGGTGAATTTCACGGAAAACAAAGCTCTAATTTTTGAACTATTTGTAGACAGGTCTTCCAATAAGAAAGCTGTTCTACTTGTATAGAACCATATTGCTTGATTCTATTGTCCAAAACAGAGTTTAACTGTTATAGTCATCAATTTTCTTTTGATAATATCATACAATCATAATCCTAGATATTATCACAGATGACAGTGAAACTTTCAGATAATTTGTTCCACAGAGGGAGAATCCTCTGGGAGTGCTCTTTTGGTCAGCTCCGTTTGTAGAGTGCAACCTATGCAACTTTCTGATATTCTGGTTGTGTATTATGTCCTTTCTCATCCTCTATCTACTTAAGGTAGACTGTACCTGTTAAGGTAATTCTAACAATTTCAGCAGAATTGCTACAGAACTTTTTCTTTGAAATGTACAAAGTAGGGTATTTCAATGAAGTGAGTCAATCTTCTTTAAGAATCCAATTATTTCAGATTAATAAAGGATGCTCAACATCCAAAGGATCATGTAAGTTGTTTAATAAGCCTAATGAGACATGTTTTCCTCAAATAAGAGAATTACTATCATATGGCATACTTCTTCTGAAACTGATGGTTGTTCAAAAGCAGTTTGTGAAAAGGTCATTTGTTCATAGAAAAAAACAAAAAAACACTGGACTAATGAAAGCCTCTGTTGTGAAACTAAGCAGTTCTCTGGATGCTATCCAGGAGGTATAACAATTTGGAAAGCTTAATGACAAGCCAAGCTAACTAGAGCATTTGGATTGGGACCAATGTGTGTGGGCTGTTTCGCCACTCAGAATAATTTGCTTTAAAAACAGCAATGTTATAAAGGGGGAAAGAATTAAACAGCTATTTATATACTCTCAAATGAGAATAGGCATTTATATACCATTCATTATGACTAAAGAAGTAAAATCACACATGCAAGAATTACTTAGGCTCACCCAACCTAGTATGCCTGTAGAATAAAATTCAGCATCAGTAATAAATTTACAATAGAGCCTGGAATAGGAAACCATGATGTTGAATAGGCAAGCACCAAAATATATTTAATTATGTCTAAATCACATGTTTTCATTTACTAATTTACATATATAATTTGGTTTTCTCTGAAGAGTTCAGAGAGGCTCACATATAGCTTCCAGGTGTATACCATACAGGCAAGTAATAGTAAAATAACTGCTTCAGTTGTAGAACAGTTTCAAACTGGAATATATGTGTGGAACAAGACATAACCCCCCAAAAATCTTTTTTAAAAAAATTCAGATCTGCCACCATTCCATGATCAAACAAAAGCCTTCAATGAATTGAAGGGCTCCTTTTGTCTGTGAGAGGCTTTTGATCTAGGAGAACTTTTCCTAAATCCAAACGAAGACAATCTTCACCAATTTCTTCTGTCCCCTTGCAGTGGTAGAAGTAATGATGGGGTCTGCAGAGGGGGAGAAATCACCCCTCCGTTTTCTGCCAGTAGATGTGGTTGGAGTGGAAAACTGCTCAGGGATTTTCTTGCTACAGGGACAAAACTCTGGTCGAAGCAGATATAACACTACAGCTTATAAAAAATCAATGTAATATAAGAAATATTGCAATGGCAAGCAAAATAATGACCCTGGCAATAGTAATGCTGAACATAATAATAATAATAATAATAATAATAATGTTCAGTGCATTGTGGGTCTACATTTTAGCCAGTCAATTATGTGAGATGGGATCAGAAAAATGTATGGTGTCATGATACTATAGCACACATTAAACTGCTACATGTTGACAAGAAGGGAGCAGAATATTCAATTCTTGGTAAATAGCACCAAGAAAAATTGTAAAGAAAAATATGCCAAAACTTTCTACAGAATAAATTACCATACTTCCTATATTACTAGAGTAAGTGTAGCTATTTACCTTAATCATTCAAAGGTCCTTAAAAATCTTCAATGGATCTTTATCTTGATTATTTAGTATAAAAACTTAAAAAACTACTAATGATTCCCTTGTAAGTATTACACACTAAGACAAAGAACTCCTGGAACACTGATTCCCAAGTTAGCAACAAGGTTCCCATGCACATGTGGAGCTGTAAATCATGGCCACATTCATTCAACACCTTATTTGTAAAAGGGTAAGTCAATTGTGAGCAGGATGGGTGGCAGGTCAGAGAGAGAGAATTTACCCAACTCCCAAAGGTGGAGGTTTGGGTCAAGTTTTGACACCCAGAGGGCCTGACGTTTTCCTCTCCTGATAAACTGGATAAGTTAAATCAAACATATCCAAAATAAGCACTAGAATTTAAATACAATCAATATGCATTGCTTGCAATGGAATGCGCACACGGATATATATCCAGACTGTGCATCCTAATGGATTGAATGGACTGTGAGCAGATTACTTTCTCACTCAGATAGATGTACACTTGATTCAAGTTTTTGGTTCTTGATTCAGCAAGAGAACAGTCCAATAAGGGCTATTTTTATAATTCCATAGCTGGGCTAGCATGGGGAAGATGTAACAGAGCAGAGAATGAAAGCTGAAATGTCCCTCTTTTCTGTCTTGCTTCTCTCCTTTTTCTAGCAATGGAACATGGGGAAAAATACATTTAAACAACCTAGAAGAATGGGAACAGCAAAATACACAAACTGTGATTTTTGTTTTTGCAGGTCTATGGTATATTTGCAATATATTTCTACAGGGTATAATACTTCCCGTTTAAACATGAAAACAGCTAGGTAGAAAATGGTTTGATCAGTGTGCGTTAGCTAAAGATAATCTGAACAAAAGCCTTCAAGATTCCTTGCTTAATCTGTTATACTGCACTGACTCATAACTTCTTAAAGCTCACCTAGGATTCATTATAAGGCGACGGAAGAAGTAGGTCCAGGTAATATAATCCATTGCATCCTGTTTTGATGTTATAGTCCCAGCTGCAATTTCTGCATTTAAATGATCAGACAGAACGTCCAGTAAACTAAAATTAAACAAAGAAATAAATCAAAAATACACCCAATAATTTTATAAAGGTATTACATATATAAACCACTAAATTTAATTTACCAGATAAGGAATCTTAATACCTGGCTTCAGCTATAAAATCAGATTGCAGGTACAGTGGTGCGTCGCAAGACAATTTTAATTTGTTCCTTGGAAATCACTGTCTTGCGAAAACATTGTCTTGTGAAACCCAGTTCCCCATTGGAATGCATTGAAATCTATTTAATGCGTTTCAATTGGGGGAAAAAAATCACTATCTTGCGAAAATTATCCATAGAAGACATCATCTTGCAAAACACAGTTCCTCATACCATCGGGGGGGGGGAAGCAATCCCCTCACCTGCGCTGCCTTTGGAAATTCAAGGAGTCTTAGATGGCCTTCCCCCTCTTTCTCTCTCTAACAATAAGGAAAGAGGATAAAAGAAGTCAAAACAGCCTCCTGGCTCCTGACAATGGTAACTGCATTTGCCCTGTTCCTTTAGCATAGACAAAAAAGAGAAAAGAATATAAAACATCATTAGGACTTGCTGCTTTTGCAATAGGTCCTGATGAGAAGAAAAAGAGATGAAAAGAAATTTAGAAAAAAACAGGGTTAATCATAAGTGCAATTTTCCATTAACACAAATTATGCAGATGAGTTCCCCACATTTGGGGAAATCACAGAGATCAGCAGCACACCCAAAGTGCAATGGATGAGCCAACCCCTGGGAAAACCACTTTTATGACATAGTATTTTCTCTGCAAGGTATGAGTTAAAATGGCCCTTGCCTCTCCCACCCCATTCTGTCCCCTAACCCCGCAAGTCATGGTGACCCCCTAGCTGCATCTTAACACAAATTATGCAGATGAGTTCCCCACATTTGGGGAAATCACAGAGATCAGCAGCACACCCAAAGTGCAATGGATGAGCCAACCCCTGGGAAAACCACTTTTATGACATAGTATTTTCTCTGCAAGGTATGAGTTAAAATGGCCCTTGCCTCTCCCACCCCATTCTGTCCCCTAACCCCGCAAGTCATGGTGACCCCCTGGCTGCATCTCCCACTCAGTACAGGGCTACACAGCCCCAGTCCTGCCAGAGGCCAAGAGAGCTCCTCAGTGTTTGGGGTGCCCTGCGGGACCCCCATCAGGGGATAAGTGTTCCTCCCACAATCCTCTAGTGCACAGTTATTAGTATATGCTAATACCTTATGCTAATTGTGGGTGGAACACCTAGCTACTTTATGCTAATACCTGTGCACTAGAGGATTGTGGGAGGAACACTTATCCCCTGATGGGGGTCCCGCAGGGCACCCCAAACACTGAGGAGCTCTCTTGGCCTCTGGCAGGACTGGGGCTGTG